GTACTGTATATTAAAACAAGCCTGAGCCTTGGCCTGGTCATCATAGGCAATTGTCAGCTAAGGAAGACCATAGGCTCCAACACAGCCTTCATCAAATGGTACCTGTCATAATGAGTCTGTAAATGCATTACCCATTGTTGTATGACTTGTTCAAAATGCATTGAGTCAGGACCCCATTCATTAGCAGCATTATGGACCAAAGACAGGTCTGCAAGAGGCGTAGGTATTCATGGCTGTTTGACCACATTGGGGCCTCCATTAACTGGAAACACCATGGTGGGCATGTACAGTGTGCATCGCCATAGGTGGAATATACTGGGAGGTATGTGGATCAGCTGTCTCGGCAGGCAGACATCCAGGCAAGTCACTCCGTGGATACTGCAGTGGTGAGGGGGGAGCCGCTTGAGACATGAGGGGAACAGAGAGAGGGGCTGCCAGTATAGGCTTGGGCACTGCCTCAATCATTTCCTCTCTCTCTCCATCCCTTTCCTTTACTTTACACCTATTCTCATCCGTCTCCTTGTCAGCAGAGGCAGAGGAAATGGCAGTCATGGATGGAATGAATGTGATAGATAAGTTGGTGTTACATTGTTCCTGACAGTGTTTATTGTGGGCCTTAATGATCCCCTCAGTAGAGCAGGACTTTAGGCCAGTGATTATAGCAAAAAAAAAGGGGGGGGAGCATAAAAAAACAATTGGAGGGTTACTTCTGAGGCTTCTGCGGCCACTTTCCTTTTCCTGGCCAGGAACAGAGCTGTCATCCAAAGATCAGGTTTCCACATATTCCCTGGAGGAGGAGAAGACACTCTTAACTGCTGAGCCATCTCTCCAGGCATCATAACCCACAAGCACATGCATGCACACACAGACACAGACACAGACACACACACACACACAGACACACACACAACTAAAATTAGTCAGATGGCTGCAGTTGTTTCCTGAAGGACCAGCCCTTATATAGAAACACCAGGCAAGTCTGAACAAAAGCATGTGCCACTCTACTGTACAGACAGACTCACAACAAGAAGAAAAGGGGGGTCCCAGTGCTTACCTGCTGAGGGGCTGAAAGCGCACAATGTAGAGGGGCCTACTCACCGAAATACACTGCTCAAGGAGGCTGCTCAACCAGTGCTGCGCAGGAGGAAAGGGAGACAAACCCATTCAAGCACCAAATGTCCTGGGTTTCAGCACCAGATGTGGCAGGGTCCTGTGCTGTTGTTCCCTTTGGGGGAGGGAGCCAAGTAGGCACAGAGTCAAACCACACAGACTCTGGGAAAATGTCAAAACAACAAGCTCTGTTTATTCAGGAATAGGCAAGCCTTAAACACCCTCCATGCCACCCTGGAGGAAGATCTAATGAATATGCATCAGCTGATATGACATGGCTTCCTCTCATTGGTCCAGGTCATCTCCAGATCATGTCTCAGCTGCTGTTGCTAAGGCCCTTAGACAGACCCAGGTTGGCTCTCAGAAAGTATCTTTTTTACTGGTTTGGGTCCACTGGCCCTCAAGCCTGTTAGGATGAGTCATCCCACAGATGCCCACATTCCCAAGAGGTGGGGAGGGTGGTTTTTGGTCATTCTATGGGTTTTGGACAATTGTCATTGTTTATGATGGTTGGTTACAAGCTGTTATTGTTAATGGTGAGGAAAAAAGGCTAAACAAAGGAAATTAGATTCTGGATTCTTGTTCAAAAAAAGGATATAGATAAGAGGTAGATTATTA